TGAAAAAAAAGACCCCACCCCCCCCCCCCCCCCCCCCAACCTGCTTTGCACTGTTAAGTATTTGGTTTGCGAGGAGAGTCACCATTTCCTCCAGCCCATCCCAGGAATTCCAGATTTAGCACAACCCGTGTTTAGTGTGGCAGAGGCAGCCTATTTCTAAAACACAGGCTGAAACACGCTTTACAGGAGAGGGTTGCTGTCTTCCCTTCCACTACTCCCGAAACATTTCGTACGTTGCTAAGGCTTGGGAAAGGAGATGATGGAAAAACTACACTAGGAAAAAGATTTCCATGTTTAGGGGGAGAAAATGGAAAATGAACAGAACAGCAGGGGTATGTCCTCAACTAAGGAGATCCCAGGCTTAACAGAGAGTTGGGTACCTGTTGAAGGTATTTCCGTTGTATTAATGACATGTTCAGTACCCACTGTTACCCAGTAGGCCTTTGCTAGGATTTTTCCATTTTTCTACTTTTAGTGTTTATTCTATTTCCTTCTAGTATTCAGTGGTGGACTTGGCAGTGCTGGGTTAATGGTTGGACTTGATGAGCTTAAAGGGCTTTTTTGACCTAACTGATTCTATGGTTTCTTCTATACCTCATCGGAACTTTGGCCTTTAGCTAAAAACATTGCCTACGTCATGTTTTCAAATACACATCAGGCTTTTGTCTTGAAATCCATATTTTAACCTGTCCAGATGTAGGTTTCGGAGGAGGAAAGGAAGCGGGAGAAAGGAGACGGGAGGTGGTGAACGCTCTGTAAGTCTTTCCCTGCTTCCCTTCAGCCCAGGGGTCTGCTGTGCCCAGCGGTGCAGAGCAGCCGTGCTGCTATAAAAGCCCCCAGCACCAGCCCTCCTTCGTCCGCGCAGCCGCCTCCCCGGGGGCGGTCGCCGCACGGTCGGGGCCGCGGGAGGGTACCAAGCCATATGCGTTATGGACTACGCTCCCTGCCTAGAGGAAAGGAATTTGAAGCCTGGATTTGCACTAGTTAAAGCATATTCATATGGACAGATATGGGGACAGCACAGAACTTCCAAAATAACCCCCGAGTTTCTTAACCTGGTGGTTACCCATGAAACCAGAGAGACGTGCAGTTGTCACGTTCAGGAATACCATCAGCTATCACCTACCTGTCAACTTTTTTCCCTTATTCTTGTAGTATACGATGAAGATGACAATGCCAATTAGTGCCACAAAAAACAAGATGACAATCAACACGTATAAGATCCTGTTTGTTCCTGCGGGATGTAAAAAAAGATAGTGCCATCAACATGCAGCTCGTACTCAGCGGTATGACAACCCCTGCTCATTTCACCTGCTTTTCCAAGGGAGAGGGTGGGTTTTTTCCCCTCCTATTTGATTTTCAGTTTCTACAACAAGGGCAACAGCTCTAGCACTCGTGCAGTTCTGTGATGAGCAGCCTTACTGGAGGTACCTGGTAATGGAGCCATCTCCCTAAAAACCAGAGACTTGGTGTCTTGGAGAGGCGTGATCCAGTCATGTTCCTCTGGAAGTCGCCCCATGAGCGGCCAGCAGCCCACGGGCTGTGCTTGCTCTGTCTCGGGATGGGGGACACCCCTCTCCTGGAGACCATAGACCTCAGCTGGCAAAATTTGTCCTTGATCTCTGGTTATGAAGAATCGCTGCGTGCCAGGATCCCTGGTACCATATCCACACTGGAGAGGGAAATGGGCAGTGGGCAAGAAGGGAGAGCTGCATTCAGCTGAGGCTGTATCCATTGCTATACAAAAAGCACAGGGAGAAGCTGCTAGCCTTTATGCAGATAACGTGTGTGTGGAAATCAGCCGGCTGAAAAGAATGGAAGCGCTGTCAACGTGACGGAGGTCATGGGCATTACAGCAATGCCGCTTGCCGTGCAGTTTCAGTGGGAGCTGTGAAGCTCTGCTTAGCAGCGGACATGGGCCCTGGAGTTGCCGGGCTTAAAATAGTCTTTAAAGGTGGGATTTTCCAAGGGCGCTGTCTTGGTCTGCAGCTGCTCCCTCTGGAGTCACTCGTAATGGGATTGGAGTTAAGACAGTGAAAAACCCTAGTACACACTTTCCCTCCTCCTCCTCCCTGGTGCTTTGTAACAGGTATTCTGTTTGAGGACACATACCATCTTCTGACGGCTCAGGCATCTTCCGTTCTGTGCAAACTGCATCCGACTTCTCAGTCCCAGGCACTATTTCTGTCATTCCTCGAGCTGTACAGCTGAAAAAGAAAGACAAGGAGGCTAGGTTCTCAAAGAGGAAGCTTGTTGTGGCTCCCACAACTTAGGCAGAACAGTACTTTCTGTTGTAACGTACAACATTTATCCCGCATTTCTCTGCCCTTCAGAAGCTCAGATACCTTCTTTATTTCCAGCTGTGTTAGCCTGGCCGTTCTGTTGTTACTGCTCTCTCCTTCTCCCCACCTCAAGGAGAATTTCAAGCTCCAGCATGAGAATGCCTTTATCACTGCGCAGCCAACAGAGATGCTCTCCACGCTCCGCAGACAGCCCAAAGCACCCCACCAAAAAATGCTTTCGCCCAAGCCGCTCCCTTGCCTCGTGGCTAGCCTGTCCTTCTGCAAGATACGGGGACTTACTTGGTCCAGGGCATACACTTGTCGGTGGATGAAGCGACCTTGGAGAAGTAGCCTCTGGGACATGGCGTACACCTCGTGTCCTTGTCTTGCTGCACTGTGTGTGGCAAAGGAAGAAAAATTTCACAGCTGAGTTTCCATGAGTTCCTTACAGGTAAGGGGAAGATGACTATGCTGCCCATGCTCCCGCTCCACTCCCCCCACCGAAAGGTTCCCTGAAGAGAGAAGGATCTTAATTATATTAGAGCAATAATGACAGTCACATGTAAGCAGGAAAAAACAGTGTGCTAGTCTCATCTGAGCACTTACTGCGTGCTCAGAATGAGAAATGACCAGAAGCTGTTTGCAGTTACTGTAAAATAACACACAGCTATTCTATCCTTCCCCTTCCACAAACTTCCTCGTGTCGACGCTATGCCACTAACTGGTACTGTCACTTCTATGAAGCCACAGTAAACAAAACGCTGTGTCAGGGTTTGCTAGACTGGAGAATAAACAGCACCACTGTGCTCCAGGCCCATGCAGCACTTCATCCCCCGCTGCTCTATTACGTGCTGCTTTCCTGGGGTTCCTCATGCTTGGTGCAGCAGTTCCCGGTGTTTGTTACAACTCTGAACTTGACAGTCTCTGTTTTCCACCCACGAAACACCTGCGTTTTGTTTTTGATCAGACCTGAGACTAAATTACATGCCTGTAATAAATCTCTGCGTTACTAGTCATCTAACACGAGGAATACGCGCGCTACCTGAAAGGTGCTAATTGCTTCTGACTTGCTGATAACATTACAAAACAGCAAAGTCATCGGAAAAAATATTATTTCAAATCCAAACTCAGCAACAATTCCCAACGGGCCACTTCCCTGAACACCCGGGCAATGCGTGTCCCAGCGACTCGCAGTCAGACCCCTCAGCAAACGTTAGAAATGCACCCAACACCGTGCGCCCATTGTCGCGCCCACGCGGCATCTTGCAGAAGTCAGTTGCCCCGAGATACTATTTAAACTACAGAGGCAGAAGCCTTCAAAATGCAAACAGGCCAGGAGGGTTATGTGCAGCAGTAAAGATAACTCAGACGTGCGTCTGCTGTTGACAGTCATCTGAGAGTCTAAAGTCCCCTCTCTACTGTGACAACACACACGGCGCTGGCCTCATCCTGCAGGCCTGAGCTGCCCATTTCACTTCCTACGTCCCCCTTCTGTGTCTTACCAGGATGCTCGACTCCGAATCCTGGAGCACATATGGTATTTCGCTGACAGCAGTCGCAGTCTTCATTCCAGTGGTAGCCCTCCGTACAAGCACACTGACGCTGGGACGTGCTGTTCCCCGGGTTCACTTCTCTCAAAGCTTTCCCTGAAAGAGAAAGCAGCTGGGAGTAAAAATCTTTCTGATAATAAGCCTCAAGTTTATGAACCTCCTCTTCTACCTATTTGTTTTGCTTGAGTGCCAGATGCAAACCCATTCATGCTAGAGGAAACGTTATCTCTCTAGAAGCATGGGAGACCCCTCGTCGCACTCCTGAGCGACGCTGCTCCTTGCAGCTGCTGTAGAAAACGAACAGAGCTTTTGCAAGGGTGAGGCAAACGCTTTAGGGGAAGGGAATGCACAGTGCGCTGGGCAGAAGGGCAACCTTTAAGATCCAGCTCGCAGGAGTGAATGGCCCCAGTGAAGATAACGATTATCAGCAGCATGGAGAGTACGGTCGCAGTGCTCGGCACGGTCTCTGCTCTCCGGGGAGCTCCCTCTGCCAGGCCCTGCTGCAAGCCCAACGTCCACTGTCGGGCACGTCAACAAAGCAACGCCCCTAGATCCATGTTCTCATCTTCGTGAGTCACTAATTTGGATGAAGAGGTTCTTCAGTACGAACAGCTCACCTTGATCACATATTTTATGTAGTAAGCATTTATCTTCTTCGTTCCAGACATCCATATACTCGTTCGGCCCACACGTCTGGCATATGCTATCAGAAGTACCAGTGCACCTAGCAGACATATACTTCCCTGTGAATGACAGGAGGACAAGGAGGTCATTTGCGAGCTGCACACCAGCTGCCTAAGGGGCTTAGGGAAAATAACAGGTTGGGCTAACACTGCTGTAGACAATCATTTCTTCCTGCCACCTTTGGAGTTCCCCAGTCTGGCCCCCACTTAGCGTGACACTGAAACCTCCGCGAAGCTTAAGGCCTGGGAGCAGTTCTGTCTGCGTGCACGAGGCTCGAGCTGCCTTCTGTCTCCTGCAGTGGCCAAGCGCTATCCCAACAAAACAGCTGCCGTAGCTTTTGCTGAGGTCAGCAGGACCAGCCCTGCACCACAAGGCACTTGTAAGCCTGAAATCAGGCACCTCCAGAGGTGTTTGCCAGCAGAGGAGCAGCGCCACGGAAGCAAGCTGCCTTACCGACCCACGGAGCTCTTCCTGATGAGCTCCATCGCTCACGAAGCCGGTACAGCCCGGTGCACACATACCTGGCTCACACTTTGTGCAGCACCGCCCAGCGTATTCATAGTGTTGTTCGCTTTCACACGGCGGGGTGATTTGTAGTGACAGCTGGAGTGGAGAAGGAGAGAGAGGACATGAGAACCAGCATTACCTGGAGAGCTTCAGCCCTGCCTACTCACAGTGCTGTCAGAGAGGAGGAAAACTTTACTTCTGTATAGCATTTTGGATAGCTAAGCAGTAAAAATTACCCAATGTTTATGACTTCAAAGGCGCTTTGTAGACACGCTGAGAATATGCACTCGATACACACAGGGACTTGTAATACAGCCAGGTGATAAATAAATAACACAGCCTTGCAATTTGTCATGAACTTCTGGCCTCCTATATAACCTTTTCTCACAGTGCTCTATTATTTGAAATCTATGGCTTCAAAGCAAGTATAAAAAAAGAAAAACAAAACAAACAAAAGGCATAAAGATAGGTCTGTAGTCTCTTCCACAGGTATGACCTCCAACCAAGAGCTGGGCGACCAGCAGTTTTAATGTACAGCATTAAGCAAACAAATAAGGTGAATGATTTACACTCCTGAAAAAGAAGAAGTTCCCAGCTTCCTTCTGGGATACTCAATACTCCTGGCTAGCCCCACAAAAGACTGGACTTCAATTTTGCAGCTTTTTACGGCTCCCACTGTGTCCTGCAGAGACGGGTCTCCTGGAACTGAGGCAGCCATCCAGAGAGGTGATGCAATTAAGCAAACAGCTTTTTGCTTCCCAGAATCTAAACCAAACCCAACACAACCCCCCACCCCCCCACCTGAACTGTTACACGAGAGGGTACCTGCAAAGCAGGTGGCAGTGCTGCTGCTAGCTCTTACGGGCCCTCGCATCCCCTCCCTGCCCTCGTCTCCCGGTATCCACAGCCGTCCCACCCGCAGCTCAACACACGTGCCTCTCTCAGCCGGTCTTTGGGGCATGGCTTGTGCTGGGGATCAGGGCCAGCCAGGCGCCATGCCCAGGCCCTCGCTCACCCTGTTTTGGCTGCCCGGGAATCTCCCGGCAGCAGCCCGCCAGGCCAACTCAACACCGTACAACCCGTTGTTGATCTTGCAATAGGTGAGATGATTCAAAATCTGTCCTGTGGCAAGGAATCCTTCATTATTGGATACAGTGGTTAAAATCTCCTGTACTTGGAGAAGGCTGCAGTGAAGCTTCTGCTGCTGGTTAAAGGGAGCTTTTGCCATCTGGTAGCATAGGACAGCCCTGTGCCTGCTGATACTGATTTCCATGCCTCTGGTTAGCGTTGTCCCCTTGTTGTTTCCTCGCAGTCTTTAATTCTCCCCTTTCATCCTTTTCTAGTTTCAGCAATAGCAACCTCTGTAAATAGAAAACATTTTTCCCTAAGCACCTTGTCGTCTTCTAATGCTCTGAAGGGTCTTGTAACTTAAAGACAACCAAAAACGTCAAGGTTTTCTTGTAAAGTACTCCCTTTGGGCTTGGAGTTTGAGCCACGGGTTGGTGTTTATCAAAACTGCACCGGCTGTCTCTGGAACAGAGAAAGCACCTCAAGTCAGGTACTTTTTACGGGTTATAAACACCTTACAGCCACTTTTTTTTATCATGACAGCAATTCCAGGTCACATTCAGAGTCCAGCCTTACAGGAAATCTTGTGTTGTCTCCTTATTTCCTTGTCTCTCCTTTTGCATTCATCAGCAGCACCTTTCTCCTGATAAGATTATACGGTTTTTGGAACAAGGATCGTGTTTTGCCCTTGCGCAGCACCTCCCAAGAGGGGCGCGGGATAACGATCGGCGTTGGCAAGGTGAGAGGCAATCTAGGAAAGGGAGAGCCGTGCCAGCCTGGCAGCTGAACGGTGACATAGCTCAGCGTCCCAGGGGAAACGCTGACAACACCCCTGTAATCCAAGGAGCTCGTTTTCTGTACCGCGCTTCGGGCGGCATCTGCGACAACACTAAACTGGCCAGCGTGGGGGGTGAGGTGACGCTGCAGGACCGAGCAGCAGAGAGAGGTCCTGAGCAACTGATTCGCTATTCCCAGCCATCTGAAGAGGCAACATGAGCGATGAGGCCAATGACAGGTCCAGCGGCTCGCATTTTGTAACTGAGTATCCTCTTCTTCCTCGTTTGCTCCAGTCTGATAGTTCCTCTTTAGAAGAAAAGACTAAAAAAATCACTGAAGTGTCAAGCAAGGGCAAAGTCATACTTTTTAAGGAAGGATATGCAAATCTGCTAAAGAACATCCAGCTAAAGGGTCTGGAATAATTTCCAAGAATCACAACTCAGCCTGAGGAGAAGCAGCAATCCCCTGGCGCCCAGGCTAGGGGAGCAGGCTAATTGCTCGGCTACCTTTCGGAAATCGCTTCATACCTCCCCGCTTTACCCTCTGAAGAGGGTTATTGTTAGGGCACGCTCACAGCTGCAGCTGCATACATCTACGCTCTGTGTCAATAAGTAGTCTCTTCTGCCACCGTGTCCTTCCCCTTTTCGCACAAGCCAACGCATTCACCGAGCCGCGATACTCCCTCCTTCGATTTTTGCTCAAGGACATAAAGGCGAGGCTGTTGGCTTCCACGTGCTGACCCCCATGTGAGCCCAGCCTTGCCACGACGGCGAGGGATTTTGGCCTGGTATGGACTAGCCGCACCTGCCGAGCACGAAAGCTGGGGGGAGAGGGGACAGGAAGGGGAAGAGAAGAACCTGGGGCTCTCTAAGGGTGGGAGCCGATCCAGTGAATGTGGGCCCTCCTGCTGACACAGCACCACCGAAGCCAGGTTATCCCTTGTTTAACCCTCTGCCAGGTGACCTGTGCACGCCTCATCGTCAGGCTGCCGGTCAGCTTCCCTGGGAGCTGAGAAGCGCCCGTGCCGCTGGCAGCACGAGCCGTCGCCAACGTGTTCCCGCCACCCCGTCCTTGGGAGACGGGGAAGTGCGATGCATTTTGCAGATGAGGAACTCGCACGCGAAGGCCGGCTTGACGGAGGTGACAGGAAACCAGACCGAGTCTCCCAAGGCTCAAGTTCGCCCCATAACCCCTTGAACATCCTTCCTCTCCCTGGCCACTGGGCTGTGGTCAGGGTGATTTGGATATCACTGAGCTCTTATCTGGAGAGAGAAGGGGCCTTGATGAATGAGAAGGTGTCAGCTTCCTCTGAAGTGACGAAACAGTACAAAAACCAGCCTGGTCACTCCTTTCACCTCCTCGCTACTGGTGAAGCTGTTCATTAAATACCACCCCCACATGCAAATGAGTGCTCTAGGTATCCTGTCGAAATTTAATTTGTCACGTAAGAAGCGTGTGAAGCACACAAGTTTGTACCAGTTCCTAAAAAAAAAAAACCAAACAGCTTTCCTGCTTGATTAACATTACCTCAGAACAAATATATCTGTCAGGGAAAAAATCCAGGGGGGGAAAAAGGACAAACCTCCTCGGGGCTCGGTGGATCCAGTTCGGTAAAGCATGCCAACACCCCGATTACCTATTAGCAGGAGTAGCAACACTGACTTTTTTGGAAAAACAGGCGTGCTCAGGTCAGGGTTTGCAGGAGGACCGTGTTTTGGTGTCCAGCTGCAGGCAGCTTTTTCAGCTTCTTCTCCCACCCCCCACCCCTTGGTTTGTTGAAAAGGACGCTAAGCAAGAGCGTGCTTGTAGGGTCGCGGAGCTTCGATGACTCAGAGCGACAAAGCACCACTGTGTTACTCAGACCTTGAAAAAACACACACACAGGTGCTTCTGAAGGGGGAAGCAGCAGCATTCAGATTCCTGTCCTCAGGCTTAAGGAAATATTTATTCTTGGTGCCGTTGAGCAATCGGATGGCAGCAGAAGCTGTGTGTCATGGATGCTAAAATTACTTTCTTGCTCAGATGAACATTCAGACAGACATTTCAGGGAAGATAGAGTTGCACAGGCCTCTTTCTTTTAAAAGAAAAAATCTGGAAGGACGAGCTCGGGGGTTTCCGCACTCTTTTTCCCATGTCACTTCTGAGCAAGAACCTGAGGCCTCAGCGGGAATTGCTCAGTAGCGATTATCTCAATTTTGCAAAAATCGAAACGTAAAGGGGCACGTCAAGGGAGCTGTCCCTTGGGTAACGATCTTCAGATGACACCTCCTTGCTCAATGTCATTGCTTCTGGAGAGCGTTCAAGTCATCCCTCATCATTTCGCTGAGCAAAGCACTTCTTTTTCCCTCAGTTCAGCGTTGCAGACCCAAGGTACCGATGGGAGAGCCAACTATGCTGCGCCCTGCCTTGCACACCCCTTGCTCTTGACGCTTTGGAGCCTGAGTTTATTTCAAACCACTCGCTTCCGAGGCCCTTAGCCTCCCCTGCTGCAGAAGTAGAATATTTCTGTGGATTTGGCGATTTATTTGCCTTCGTCAAGAAGACTGAGCTTTGACCAACATTTCCTGATCAGAACTAGGCCCTGCAAGCTCATCACCCTGGTGTCCAGCTAGGATGGCCTCTGCAGCCATCTGCTTCCTTCAGCTCCTTCAAATGTGAGCCACCCCCTTTCCTCTCCCACCAGTCGTGTGCCCGCAGCCCTCCGGCTTCCTGTCTGATTTGGGTCAGCAGTATCGCTAAGCAAAACCCAGATTTTTCAGCTCGTTGCCAGTTTCAGAGGCCTGACTAAAAAATTATTCAAGAATAAGAATAATTTCTTACGGCTCTGGGTGGGCGCAGCCCCGTGGCTGGCGCTCCCGGGCACTCTACTGAGGCGGGTAAGAGTAACGCGCACAGTGACGGGCTCGGGAACTTTTGTGAGTTAATAAGGAGGAAAGAAGAGTCCCGCATTGAAGACTCAATCGTAATCTCAGGGATGCTGAACACAACGGCTCCTCTGCAGACAGCCTTCGCTGTCGATAAGGATTCAATCAAAGCGGCGCGCGGGTCACAGCCGCGCGGTTCCAGTTCCTCGCTCGCAGGCCTGTAATTCATCACGAAAATCTTAGACCGTGAATGAAATGCTTTTGGTGATGCCAACTTTCCAGTGACCAGTAAACCACATCACAGGACTACCACCACGTGGCAAAATACAGTCGGGAAATGGCAACAGCTAAAAACTAAATATTATCTCACTCTTAAAAATAGGTCCTTGAAACCCTGCTAGAGCCTTAATACCTCAAGAGGCCAGAAAGAACAAGAGGGGTAAAACTGAATAAAGGGGTCAAGAGAAAACTGTAACTTGCAGCCAGGAAGTGGGCAAACAGCGGTAAAAGCCCCACCCTGACTATTCCCCTTGCCCCTCTGTTTTAGCACCCAGCAAAAAGCAAACACCTGAGCAACCGGTGCGGCTCCGCCAACAGGAAGGGCCATTCATCAATCTGCAACCCACCAGAGTTATTTCTAGCCAGCAGACTACGTGAAGGAGAAGTGCCGCGCTGCCCACCCTCGCAGCGGGGCGGTGGGGTCAAGGCAGACGGGAACCTGGGGTGTATCAGATGGGAGATGACGGAGGTGATAGATGGCAGGGCTGAGAGGGCTACCGACCCAGCGTGTGAATCGGCCAGCTTTCCTCTGTGGGCTGGAAGCCTGCCGTCACATGCCCAGCACTCGTCACTCGGAGGCGAAGTCATCTTCCTACAACGGCCAAAGGGGTACACCTAACCTTGCGTCGACTGGGTGGGCGGTAGTGGCTGCACGTTGCCTGCTCGGCCCGCGCTGTGACGCAAAACCTCATGCCGGAACCCACGTGTCCTCACTGCTACGGTAACTCAAAGACTAGCAACTACGAGGTAGAATATTTTAAATACGAATCAGAGGGTAGAAACCCAAAACCCAACCGGATCAAAATATTTAAGGAAAGGGCTTGACAGCAAGACGAGAGTCCATAACAAGCAGAAATAAAAACTGAAGAACAACGAAGTTACCTAGGTGGGCTCGTGAAAAGGCCTGGGAAGGCAAATCTCTTCTAGATCAAGCGGGCGCGACAGCAGCGCTCTGTAGGAAAGCTTAGCACCCTCACCGCTCCAGTTGCAGTCTCACTGACTGGCTGTGAGTAAATCCATACCCATTCACGCTCATATAATACGACAATAAAGGCACTAACGACACAACCCTATACGT